CCTACTCTAAACCATTTTGGCCCCAAAATGTGCATGTGTTTATCACTCAAAATGTGCATGTGTTTAGCACATGTTAGACATGTTGATAATTTATAAACCCGACTTATGTTGGTTAGAAACAGCATAAAATGGGTACATGACGGGCATGAAGTGTGAAAGGCGAAACCTAACCTACTCTAAACCATTTTGGCACCCGTTGATCATTGGTTAATGGTTTTTCTAATACTAACTTTGTTTCTATTTACGCAAAGTTGTCTAACTTACTAATAAGAAATTGATCGAATTAGTAGACTTTATCTACTATTTCAAAATTTTTACTAATTTAGAATTACAATTAAGAGTTTAAATTCTTCCAATACAAAGCAATTAACATGTTGCAAAAGAAAAAAAAACCTATGTTGCCATTTTTACTAAATAAATATAGGTGTTTAAAATTACAATAAATGGCAATATCAAACATCTAGTCAATAAGGATAAGGAAGAAACTTTATAGAAAATTTGAAGTAGAGGTGATAGATACTTCATTTTAAATCCATGTACTTTGTGAAACAGAACCTGCATGTTTCAAGCTTTGTACAAACATTATTAAAAGCATATACAATAACGAGATAAACAAACATTAAAGCCGCATGCTTCCATAATTTTATAACAGATGAATCTGTGCATTAAGAGTTAATTAAAAAGATGCATTTCGAATGAGAAACATATATGTTGTACCTTGCCTGGATTCCATCTCGATCAACAGTGGTAAAAGAACTCATAAACAGCAACCATCTTCTTTGGCTCAAAGCATCAATTGGTAGGACAAATTCACCACATCAAATAAAAACTAGTCAAGATTCAAGAGTTCTAAATTTCAAGTGGTTGACAAAGAATTTGAAGGACGCACCACGCATGCAGGTCATTACAAGTCATCTAGTTTTTATCTACAACCTTCAGATCTCATTGAAAAAATTGCACTACTTGCATTCAAGTCATTTGCAACCACAACTTCTGGTCATATTACATTTTCAAAAGAGCTAATAGTTCTTTGTTGAAAAGTCAAAATGTTATCACATTGAAGATCAATGTGTAATTAAAAAGAAAACATCAGCAGAAGTTTCAAAAATCATAGTAAAGAGTATAACTTGCATTACACATTAAAACAAAACAAATATGAAGTAAAAGATGCTTAAACTAGCGTACTTTCTTCTGTTGTCCTCGTCTACAAGAATTTATCAATGCATGCAGTTAATGTGGATTTGGGAACAGCACCTATAATTGCATCTTTCTTCTCACCATTGATGAAGATCATCATTGTTGGGATGCTTCTGATTCCGTATTGAGTTGCAATTGAAGGACTGTCATCTGTATTCAATTTAAAGCACTTCAGTTTTCCAGCATACTGTTGAGCTAATTCACCTATAACTGGATGGATCATGCGGCAAGGTCCACACCAGGGGGCCCAGAACTCAACCAACACAGGTCCATCTGCCTTCAGTACTAGCGACTGCCAAGTTGTATCAGTCACAGTTGGAACTGCCAATTTCGATATCCAAGGAGTAAGATCAAATAAGTTGGTAAAAAGATCAAATAAGTTGGTAAAAAGGGAATGGGAAAAATATTGCAGTGCTTTTCAGGCTTTCAAAGATTTATTTGCACAAGAACCATCAAACTACTCCAATTCAGTAACTCTGGCTACAGAGCAGGAATTACCAAAAAAAAAAAA